GATGCACTGAAGTAGGTGCCTATGTGGAAAAGGAGAATTGAAATGGGGCAAAATGGTGTTGAGGATTAAAGGTGGAAAGTGAAAATAAAACAAAAGAGAAGCCTTGCATTGGAAAGAAGAAACACACACATAAGTCCTCTAGAGTAGACTATATTTCTCCTAACTTTTCCATTTCTCCTGGACTTGCAAGCTTACAACAGATAGGAACCATACCCCTGACACTTTTCTTTTACTTACCAAGTTTCACTTTTTTTAAAAGTCCAATATCTTAGTAATCATCAATGCCCACATCTTCATTTTACAAGTATATGGTCTTATTTTGAGATTTAGAAAATGACACTTAAATATACTCAGAACATTTAGGGGCACTTAAGGAAACTGTATAATCCTTGATACTAAATGCTTACTCGAATCTGTCTGTAATTTGGAAGTATTCCTATTAATTATTATACATATAAGAAAAATGATGGGAGAAAGTCTTGCTTAGACACATATATCCAGTAAATTAGTAGCAGGCCATAAATGAGAAGTTAGGGTCTCTCTCAGACTGATGATTCTACTAGTAGCATCAAGCCCAGGAAGATGAAGAGTTGCCTTAAAGCTAGTTCTGGGAAGCCAGGAACAGATCACAGGTTTCCAGAGTCCCAGGTCGATGAACTTCTTCCTTCTCTTACTGTGCATATTTGCACTAATTCCAACTGATCAGCTATTTCCCACAATGATTCTTCTCTGGTGAAATCAATATCACTATTTGAAGTAAGGGAACATAGACCTCCGGTTCCCACTGTTAATTTCCAAGGGAAGAGCATCACAAACTCATATATCAGTATTAGAAAAGATACAGTTACAGTCAAGGGTACAAAAAATTAGGGACCTTTGAGGAGGAAGAGTTAACCATTCCATACATTCATATTTTTCACATAAAATCCAAAAAAAGCTGAAGAACTTAGTTACTTTTTAAATATTTTTTTTTACAACTGAAAAAAGCCTTCAATGCTAAAAATCCAAAATGACATGGTCATAGTTCCCTGAATCAAAACCTCTACCTTCTTCATATACCAATCACATTTTGCCATCGTTGTAGCATTACAAAATTAAATTAGTTCTCACTGACAAAATACTTACAGAGAAAAAGAGAAGAGGCTGACAAAGAGGCCCTCCCAAAAATATAAAATAGTCCCAGAAGAGTGAATTAAAATGTTCATTTTCATTTTCCCAAGGTCTAAATCTCCTCAGGCACCTTCTGTGATCTTTTATTTAGAGGAAAAAAATACTCGTCTGTCTGCGTGTACTTTTTCCTTCGGGCATTTAGCCCCACAGAAAAAAAGAGGAAAATATTTCCAAAGAAAGCCTAAAATATAAGAAATGAAGAAACAGACTAGAATCAAAGTGATTCTCATAGGATATTGAAAAATGGTGTCACTTAGAGTAACCCTAGATATACAGATTACGTGTGACTCTGAGCTTTCATAAAGAATCAGAATTTATATTGATAGAAAAAGCTTCCAGTTATAAGAAAACAAAAGTAGTAACAATAAACAACACTGATCTCTTTTCTCACAGAAGCACTATTCATGGACAAAAGAATTGAAGTGGAAAAATAACTTCAGATTTCTATCAACTCTACAGAGTGGTTCACACAAACATACACAGAAAATGGGCTTAAGTGATAATCACCTGAACAAAGCACAATAAACCCAGGGTAGTGACACCTCTCCCATGTTGAAGACTGACTTCATAAGCTTAGCAGTGGCCTGAAGAGGTCACCAAAAGGAGCATCTCATTCCAACAAAAGTCTACTTAACCACCCCTGCCCAAAGAGATTCTAAAAATGCTTAAAGGTTTCCAGACAAGACTCCAAAGTCACACCCGGGAACACATTTCAAAGTTTAATAGCCTACCCTACCAGGAAATGATTTCATGTAGGTAACTTAAATCACCCACCCTAGAGATTTAGCCCGTTTCCATTTGATTGCAGAGGATAACAGGTGACCCTGCTTTGGTGACAAGTTCTTCCTTTATTGGAAATGCGTTATCAATTTGTTCTTCAGGATGAGCTGCTCCTCTGTTTGACCTTTGCCTCCTGTCTCCCTTCACAACTCTTCAAACACTTTGGTGGCTCCTCAGAAAACTCTCTGCATCTTCTTAAGAACAAATCACATGCAGAGAAGAGCAAAGAAGCACCTTCATAATAGTTGTAAGGAAAACTGAAGAAGTCCATGATAGAGCCTCTGATATATCTGGACTTGTGGGAGGAAACTGAGAGCAACACTCGAAAGGATCAAAGACCCAGTGATCCCTTTCTAAGCATTTATCCTAAAGATATTTCCTAGCACTAACATTTATCCACTAAAACGTACCAACATTTATCTATAAGGATGTTCACTGCAGCCCTGTTTATATAACAGGGAAAAATTTAAAGCCAACTAAAAGCCCAGCATTCAGGGAATAATTGTCTAAAATTATATGGATTGTGGATTGAATGTAATATTGTCCATCCATGAAAAGTCAAATGGTGGTAGTGCTCACCAGGGTTTGGGGAAGAGGGAGATACACATCTTAAGGTTGTGGCGAGCACTTTTGGGGGGGGGGAGGGAATACCTCTAACCCTTCGTAGGGAAAGGCAAAGATATACAATGTAACCCAAAGGTCAAAAAAAAAAAAAAAAAAGTAATGCTGTTAGATGAGCATTTAACAGAAACAGTTTCATAATACAGTGTATTGTGATAGTTAAGAAAGTAGGATACACTACTAAATATAAAAAGTGTTTTAATTTATGTTATGTATGTGTATTTGTATGTGTCTGAAAATATTAGTCCAGAAAAACATATACCAAGACTTTGGCAGTGGTTATTACTGAGTAGTAGGATTATGAAGATTTTCTTCTTATTATTTTTACTTATCCATGTTTTCTGATTTTTCTTACAATGAGCCTATATTGCTTTTGAATATAAAAAAATCTAGCAGTTATATGCGCAAATCTCTTTTAGAGAAGATGACATACCACTTTGTACAAAACTAAATAGAAAGCAGATGGAACCATTCAGATAACAAGGAAATGAGGTTCTAGACAAAGGAACATCCAAGAAAGAAAACACGTGAGAGACCTGACGAAAGAAAAATTAAGTTACAGTTCAGAACCAATGTCTTCTCCTCCATTCTGCACTACGCTAAAGTACTCACTGGAGGCTTGCTCCCTTTCAGAATGCCACTCCCTCTTCATTTCTTCTTATCCTCTGCCTCTCCCTTCAGTTTTGGCTTCCACCACTCTGCATGTTGCCCTCAGTTAGTGTCAACTACTACTCTGTTGACAGAGGTTGACTCTTCCATCAACCTCTCTCCTGGCCTTTAGAATTGAATTTCCAATCTCTAGAAGTCCTGTAGAGGCCTATTCAACTCTATATATTTAAAACCAAATTCATTATCCTCTCCCCAAAGGCCTGCTCCTTGCCTAGGATTCTTTCCCTTTATTCAACAGCATCATCATGCACTCAAAGTGGGCATCTCAGGGTTAGTTTTCCTTAACTCTTGCCTCTGTTATTCTTTAAGCAATACAGGACAAGTCTGGTCATGCCCACTGTCTAAAATTCTTAGCATTTTCTTTCTCCTCTTTGCTGTTCTCACAGCTTTAGCCCAATTCCCCATCAACCCTAACCTGCATCAGACACTGCTTCGCTCCAGTTTAAAACACAAGTTCATTATCTCACCTGCTGTGCAAGCCATCTAGTACCCTCCCTACCTGCTAAATAAAGTTCAAACTGCTTTCTGGTATGCTCAGGCCCTTTAAGGGTTGGTTTTTAACTTATATTTTTCAGTCTTAGCACTTCCTACCCTCACCAACTACATCATACCCACATACACACCCTCTAGAGCCACTAAGTTTCTACCTAATCCCAAACATGAAATGCACACAAAGCCCATGGGTCACTGCGTCCCATTTCTACTACCTGGAATCTCCCTACCTTTCCTCTACCTATCATCATCCTTTTTTTTTTATTCCTCTTTTTATTTCATCATATTATGGGGATACAAATATTGTTAAGGTTATATATATTGTCCTTGTCACCCCCCCTCCACCCCGTGTCTGAGCTTCAAGCGTGTCCATCCTCCAGGTGGTGCACATCGCACTCATTATGTAAGTATACACCCATCCCTCCTCCCCCCTCCCACCTGCTCACCACCCGATAAACGGGGTTTTTTTTGTTTGTTTTGTTGTGTTTTTTGGGTTTGTTTGTTTTTTTTTTTACATTTTGGTTACATTTTATATCTTTGACTCTTGCTTAGAAGGGTTAGAGGTAAGCCCTCCCCCTCCACAGCGCTCACCATATCCCTTAAGATGTTGGTGTCTCCCCCCACTCCCAAATCCCTGGTGAGCACCATCACCATTTGAGCACCATAGTTTTAATCAGTCAGTACCAATATGATGGCAAGTACATGTGGAGCCCATTTTCCTGTTCTTGGGTCGCCTCCCTTCAGATAACGGGCTTAAGCTTAATCCAGGATAGCATAAACGGTGCTAGTTCACTGTCGTTTCTTAGGATTAAGTAATATCCCATTGTGAGCAAATACCAAATTTAGATTATCCACTCATGAATTGACGGGCCCTTGGGTTGTTTCCATGACTTTGCAATAGTGAATTGTGCTGCCATAAACATTCGGGTATTCAGGTGCAGATGTCTTTATCATTCTTTAGGATCTTTCTCAAACTCTCCTTTCTCTCTGATGTTTAAGCCTGAGTCCTGTGCAGTCCTTTTTCCCATCATGCTTTCTCAACATCATGTACATTTCTCTTTTATATAATATTTCTCACACCACCATTCTCATGCCACCCCATCAAATGAGACTGTGAACAGGGTCCCTGCCCAATTCCTCTGTTGAAGTAGGGAAAGCTAAATAGTCCCTTTCCCAGGCCCTCTTGTGTCACACATGCTGGCCAATAAGAGATCCACACAAAATTGCTAGAGAATTTCTGGATAATTGTAGTGTTTTCCTGTTAACAGAGAAAAGCACAGCTGATACTTCTCACTTCCTCTCACCTTGCACATGGATATACTATTTGGAGCTACAGAAGTCATCTTGCCACCCTCAGGACAAAGTCAAGGGAATCACAGAGATTACAGCTCTGACAACTTAGAGCTCCTGAGCCCACAACATCCATCAGTAGCCACCAATCTTCAGACGTATTAGGTGAGAAAAATCAACACTGCTTTAATCTGTTCATGCTTTTTGTTACTTGCTGCATTTTTAACTGATATTGTTTTTGAACAAATTAATGCAGGAATGACTACTGGGGACCTATTATTCTCCTGACACTAAGCATTTTTGTTTATTTGTCTTTGTTTAGTCTTCAGACATCATCGTTTCTACTTACAGAATTGAAGAATGATACACTGAAATATTAAGTAATTTTTCAGACACCACACACAGCTATGAAGTTTCTAAGCCAGGATTCCAACTCAGAGTTGTTTGATTTGAAAGCTCGTTCTTTTCACCACTTGTGAAGACTGACTCAATGAGGCTAAACCAAGAAAAGAGCTGTCAAAGACAACACGGGTTTGCAAGCCCAGCAAATGAGAAAATCTGTATCAGCTGAATCCATTTACCAGTTTACCCATGAGTTTGTAGTATGGGCCAGAATAAAAAGCCTTGCTAATGTTGGTAATAGATGAGTTCTTTCTAAAGTGCCTTCACAAGAATTATCAATGCTGCCACTTTTTGTCACAGGAGATTGGATTCTCCTCTATAAAGCCAAAATGGTTACCAGCCAGTGTTCTATTTCCTTTAAGATGCTTGCAAATTTATTCACAAAGGAGACCCATGTTCTAAGATAGGGTGGGGGAAAGGTTGTTTAAACCAGTTATGAGTAAGAAAAGGCATCTCATGAAAGAAAATGCCTCCATTTGGAATTGAGAAGGCCACGTTTGGGATCAGAAATGATTTTTAAAAGAGTAGGAAAACACCTCCACATTGTGATTTAAAGATCAAGAAATAGATCATTTAATTTTCCCCAGAGTACTATATTGCACTTAGCCTGATGCATACCATAAGATGGAAGAAAGGGAAAGCACTTTGTACCAGACAGAATATATTTAAATACCAACTCCACCACTAACTGTGCCTTAGCCTCCAAAACTCAATGAGCATAATGAGATAAAAGATACAGAAAATATTAGATCATTACCTGGCCCTCCTAAGTGCTAGATAAGTGGTGTTGCTAATATCAATGACAACAATTATAAAAGCAATGACAACAGCCCAGAAGTACTTCATCTAGATGATGACTATGTTAACACTGTGGGCAAAAGAAGTGGTTGGGATATATGCAACTTAAAGTATTACTAGGAGCAGTGATATGAATGTAAGTTCGAGGACATTTTGTATAAACAAAGCTGACTACTTCCTACGAAAAGGTTGGTATCCTGAGACCCTCCCATTACTTCAGAATAATCCTCAAAAAGGATAGTGGGCTTTGATGTTTATCAGCCCAAAGTGGTGCCACCCCCCCCCCACTCCACGTACCAATAGTAGAAACAGTTTACAATGCACTCAGTCATCAACTTTGAAATTATGTGATTCTGGTTAAAAATTTTTATTATAGGACGGGGTTCACATTGTTCTGAATTTTACTTATAAAGTGAAGTAACATTAACTGTTGTCACAAAATTTCAAATATATGTGATTCCAGTTCTTATAAAATGTGGCTGTTCCAATGTAGGCCAAGTTCTGAAGTCTGGAATGGAATCTCAGGTAAAGATGGTTGCCTTTCTATAAAATCCATCCCAACCATCGCTTCTAGAGAATACACTTGTGTCTGGGAAGCAGCTGCCTCACGAGTAATCACATTTTCCAGCTGCCTTGGACCAGCCATTGCCATGTGATTAGTTCCCTCCAGTAGAATATAAGTGGCATTTCCATCCCCACACCCTTACCCCTGACCAGATGCAGATGATAATTTGGCCATCAAAGAACCCAAAGATGGGAGGAGTGTGGGTGCCTGAATCACTGCATGAAAAAAAAGCCACCATTGACCACATCCTGGATTGTGACATGAGTTAGAAAGTTCTATTGTGCGTGAGACATCATATACCTTTAGAATTTTTTTAATAGTTAAATCTCATATAGATTCCATAGAGGGAAGTTACATTAAAAAAAAAAAAAGATTTGAGTTAATAAGACCCCAGTTGCGATACTAATAGCAAGAGACAAAAAGAAAATCTAGATACATGTTATCACAACCCTTTAAGAGGATTTTTAAAAATTGAACAACCACCATCCATTACACTATCCAGTCAGTGTATCTGACAGGTGTTATTAACAGCAATGTGTGTGTGTGTGTGTGTGTGTGTGTGTGTATGCTAAGCTTTACATCCCTGCTTATATGAAAAGCCTCGGTTAGTCATGGTTTCCATAGGTTTAGAAAGAATTTTTAACTGAAGTTTCTATCTCCATGCAAATGAAAATTAAGGGCAGGTAGTTATTTGCGGAATCTTTCCCATAGGAGCCCACCTCTAAGAGGGCCCCAGTGATTCTCACCTCTTGATATTCATACCCCTGTACTGTCCATGTAGGGTAGGTACTGCAAACATGACAGGTGTGATTTCCAAAGCTAGATAATAAAATACATGTGGCTTCTCCTTTTCTTTCACTTGAATCACTTGTCCGGAAGAATCCAGCCACCATGTTGTAAAGATACTCAAGAAGCCCTGTGGACAGATTCAGGTGGTGAAGAGCTCAGTCCTCCCACCAACCACCAGCACTAACTTGCCAACCACAGGACTGAGCCATGCTGGAGGCCACTCATCCAGTCCCAGTCAAGCCTTCAGAGGGCTGCAGTCCAAGCAGACATCTGGGCTGCAATTTTATGAGAGACCCTGATCCAGAAGCCCCCAACTAAGCTGCTTGATTTTCTGACCCACAGAAACAGTGTGAAACAATAAATGTTTATTGTTTTTTTAAGCTGCTAAGTTTTGGGGTAATTTCTTATGCAGCAACCGATAACTAATTCCCTACCTTGTTAAGTATAGTGACAGAGAGAGATAGAAAGCTCTACCCTAGATTTTTGTTGTTGTTGTTGTTGATATAGTCTTACTGTCACCAGGCTGAAGTGAAGTGGCACCATCATAGCTCAACTGCAGTCTCAAACTCCTTGACTCAAGTAATCCTCCTGCCTCAGTCTCCAAAGTAACTGGGAAATACAGGCACACCCTACCACACCTAGCTAATTTTTCTAATTTTTATACTGATGATGGTCTCACGATGTTGCTCAGGCTGGTCTCAAACTCCTGGGCTCAAGCGATCCTCCCACCACGGCCTCCCAAACTGGTAGGCATTCAGGCGTGAGCCATAGCACCTGGCTGGGTTTGCTTATCTTTGATTATGTTTAATGCTGCCTAGAAATGGGGCAATAGACCATGCCAGGCATTGTGTATTAGCTTGAGTTTTCTCCAACCTAGTTACAAGATGAAATCAGTTCTACCTGTGTGACAGGCTCTTTTTAACAAGGCAGCAAAGGTTCTACTCATGAACTTGTTACCAGCTCATGTGAAAAGCAAATTTAAAGGTTTCATTCTTTCAGGGTTTGTGTGTTAACTGGCAGAATTGAAGAAAACATGGCTAATTGAACATAGCATATACTTCATTCAGGGAATCAGAGACAATTTCTTAAGAGCCTCACATTTCACATAAAATGAAGACTTCAGGGCAATTTTATGCTTGTGCTGCTGCACGGCACACTGCACCTCTCCCATCCCATGATTGAGAACCCTCACACAAAACCACTTTAGTTTTATCTTTCTTGACTGAGGGCACTTAAGGGGTGGGAAAAAAATCTCTCATTGTGACTGGCTGGCTGGTTGGAAGTGCCACAGTGTTTGATCACACCGCGTGATCACTGAGCAATAGTGGCTCATTTCCCTCTTTACGGTTTGCAGGAACCATCACCCGCTCTTACATCATGTGAGCTGACACACTGACAAGGCCTAACAACACAACCCCACACCAGAAAACTCTATCAGGAAGCCCCAGCGTACAGCTGAGCAACACAGTTCCACACCTTATCACATACTGGGGCCAAGGACAGCATAAACATCCGGTGAGTCACATCACCATTCTGACCAGCACTTCAAGTCCCAGAGAAGAATCCCCCTTTGAAATGGCTAATTTTTTTTTGCCCAACGTGATTCTTCACTAAATCTGAAAATCTAGCAAGTATTCAAGAATGACATGGTATGCTTACAATAACCCAGTGGACCATTTTATATCATTCCCATGAAGACTACATCACTTTTTAACAAAATCAATTTGTGAGTATGGCGTCTTGCCTCTTAGATTGCTGGTGGTGTATAAACCCACACTTCACTGCACCTTGCAATGACTCCCCACCCGGAGTCTTTGAAGATAGCCTTGGGGTTCCATCAATAATCCTCGTCACTGCAAAAAACGTAACAGAGATCATGCATTTGCTTATGAGAAAGCTGCATGGGTTAAATAGAGCAGAGGTGAGCACACTGTGGCCTGAGGGCCAAACCGGGCCCAACACCTGTTTTTGCAAACAAAATTGTATTGGATCGTAACCACGTCCATTCGTTTATGGATTATCTATGGCAGCTTTCTCAGTCCAACAACAGAGTTGAATAGTTGAGACAGAGACTATAGTGCTTACAAAGTTGAAAATATTTACTATTTAGCCCTTTGCAAAAGAAGTTTGCCAACATCTGAAATAAAGTATGACACTTCTCACTTTGGGCTCTGAGTGTAGTAATTGATATGGGACCCTTTCCTGGACAATTCGCACTGACTGGTAGTCTCTTGGTTCAATAAAATTGAAATAACAAATTTGGTAGATTAAATCTTTCAAGATTTAGGGTGAAAGCAACAGAGTTTTCCTTCTTAACCAAGTATTTTTCCTTATTCATGCTTACCAAAATTTAAAAATGGAATCTGTACTGTACATAGACTTGTTTAAAACGTTTTAAACCCATTGGGTAAGTTTAAGTAGCCTTCTTTTTTTGAACATGACCAATTTAATTGGTCACCAGTACTTTACTTTGTCTTATATTGTTTTCTTTTTTAAAAAAAAAAGTGAACTATTTGGAATACAAAGAATTTTCCCATGATTTGAAAATTCATAAGCATGGATTAATCCATATTATAAAAGATAAGAAAATGCTTATAACAAAATTTAATGAGAGTATAATAGCTACAGGATTTGAATTCACTGATTTGGAAACACAAAGCATATGTATTTTGGCACCGAGACAGAAAATCTTTGTTAAAGTCTAAAACTATGATTTTTAGAGAGGAGAATTCCCATCTTCTACCTTCAAGGTAGAAGTCTCAGTAAATCTCAGTTTTATTAGAGAAAAGACAATGCTTGGAATTCTTAGTGCAAGGAATTTTCTCCTCAAACTAGTCTCTTAGAATTAGGTCCAGAAAAAAAAAAATGTATCCATGGATGGAGAACCTCACTAGCCCATGGCAAGAAAAGCCTTAGACGTTCTCTGTTTTAAAACTTCCCCTCAAAATATTATCCTCATGAAGGATATATACAAAGGCAAGACCCCAAAGATCTAGAACATTTTCTAGATGTGGTTTTCTGAATCTTGGCACTCCCGACATTTTATGCCTAATGATTTGTTTTGGGGAGGCTGTCTTGTGTATTATAGGATATTTAGCAGCATCCTTGCCTCTACCCAATACCAGGAACACCCCACTGATGGTAATGACAACCAAACATGTTTACAAAAATTACTGAATGTCCTCAGGGTGGGGAGGGGCCAGATTACCTTCTGTTGAGAACCACTGCTCTTGGGAACACTTAGACCTATCACTTGCCAAAAAGGCTATTTTGTTCAGCCTGGACAAACCAACTATCCATTCAATTGGAAGTAAGATCTGTTTCCTTCCAAAATGAAGTAGTTGCATGTCCTGTCACAGGGGTTATCAAAGCCATGCTCAAAAAGAGGACACTTTCCTGAGAAAATTCCACTGGGCCACTTTCTCTGAATTGTTATCTTCTGCTATAGAACCCAGGTTTCCTTCCCAGAATCTGATCAACACATAGAAGGCAACAACAGACATTCAGAGAGACTCATTTTTCAACTCAGGGTTTCCAAATCCCACCCTGACTAAACAGCAGTGATGAACAGCCTCTTGTAACTCATCAGGGCAAAAAAATAAGTAGCCTGCATTTGCTAAAGAGTCCACTGCAATGGATTATTGCCTCTCCATATTGCACACGAACAGAATTTCATATGACAGCGCCAAAAGTCGAATGTGGTTGTTTTCCTTGTGATCCTTTTAAATCCCCAATTCAATTACCAGGCTCATTTTTCTGATGAATCATCAGCAGAAAGCCAGACTGTTTTTTAGAGTATGATATGATCCTCAACCGGAACATACTTCTGTCGGCCTCTGCTCTACCTTCCTGGCACTAAACAGATACTCAGTCCAGCCCCGAAGAAGGTTAAACCTTAGTAGTTAATCCAGCATGAAATTAACCCTTTATAGAATTTTAAGTTTTCCAAAGATAGCTGTTGTACAACTGACACCAAAAAAAAAAAAAAAAGGAAACTAAATAATGGAGTGAAGTGTGTGGTGTCACTTTCTTATTATAACTCTACATTGGGTAGCCTCAGAGATGGAAATCTCAGCTCTAGGCCACAATTAAACTGATGCATCAAAAACAAAAACTTTGCATATATTTTCAAATATCACAGCAGCTATGAAATGCTAGGTCTTCAATATTGCTTTTCCCTTAAGGGCTGCCTTTTCCCCCTACCGTTTTTTTCACTAGAGGGATACACAACCAGCAAAGCAACATCTGACATGTGGATATTGCCTCAGACACCGAATCTCTGTAGAATTCAGAGACTGTGCCATAAACAAGGAGGTTTCTTTGAATTCCTACATTTCCTAGAAGCTGAAAGTAGAAGAAAAAATGGACAAATGACTGCCCAACATTTCCACCGTGACTCTGAGCTGGCAGGACACTAAGCTCAATGCCTTTGCTATAGTAACATACAGAAAGTGAGCTCACATTTCTGAGTGATGAGCATGGTTAAGACAATGGTTAAGGCAAAGAAGTCCACAGAGATTAAATATCCAGTTATTATTCTGTTTCCCCTTAGTCTTACTCCTAATACATGCACCTTTATAGGTTTCAAGTTGCTTGAAGCTGTCAATATCACAGATACCGAGAGTCCATCTATATTTTCACCCACAAATCCTAGTGGTGAAAAGCGAACTCTGCAATGAGCTCCAGCTTCATGTCTTTAGCTCAAACATAAAGAAATAATAAGGTAATGGGTAATTATGGTTGTCTTGGCTACAGCTCTAATTTTTTGATAAATATGTAGTTTTTCTGTACCTGTTTTCGATACTTGTTTAAATAGAACATAAAACTACCAGAAAGTTGCATTTTTATTAGCATAGCTATATACATTTTTCTTTCTTGATTATTGTTCTCTTTATTAGCTGCATTCTCACTCCCTCGTCCAGATTACCTGCTACTGCTGGGATGGAGGAGAGAGAGCTCACATCTTTCACTTTCACTTTTTTCCATGCATTGCTACATTCTCGATGTGATGCCTAGGGGCCTCCCAGCTAACTGGATGTGTAAATAAAAGAGTTTAGATCACTTCAAGGTGTCATTCAAATTTTC